GATGACACTCAATTATTCATATTGCCAACAATTTCGATTCGCACACAACACTCATCTACCGTTCACGCATTCTCATTCGGTGATTGACATCTCTCACACTCTTTCTCTTTCTCTCTCTCTCTCACTCTATCTTGCTCTTTCCTCTTTCCCGCTCTCTCTTTCTCTCGTAGCGGCTTGCAAAGGCTTCGGTTGTATTTGTCATTCGACGTCCGTTGTCCGAGTTGGCGGCAATCGCATTGCCATTTGTTGTTCAAGCACTTGTTTGGCGTTCAATCAAATATTATACGAATTTCCAATGGAAATATAATTGAATGCCCATCTATGTGTGTGTGTGTGTGTTCGGAAACTTTTTCAATTTATAGCGTTCGATTCCTCGCAGCCTGGAGAAAGTTCTTAAAACAACCGTTTTTGTTCATTTTCGTAATTCATTTCTGAAAGTATGGATTTTTCTCCATTTTCTGTTCTAATGTGTAAATCATGAGCTAAAGAATCATGAATTATTTAATTGGTTAACGTTGATTGGTTAGCAGCGATACCAGTTATAGCGTTCAATTTAAAATAATCTAATTTGGATATGATTTCATGTATGGGACCGACTAGGGGGTAGGAACACAAGCGCTTGAGACGAATTCGTACGAATATTCGTGAATTCTTGTGATTGTGTATACGAGACATTCGCAGCGCAGTGAGTTTACAACAACAATAACAAAGCCACGAACGCATGAATATATGCGAATACATACGAATGACACAACTTCTTCCTAGCCCCTAGGGGACCGAGCATTTCTTTCTTTTTTACTCAAACTGTAGGTGTTCAATAATTTTCATTTCATTTATTCAATCACCATCAATAAATAGCAGAGTATGTTATAAGCTGATGTCAGCAGCACTAACTGACGTCAGTTGCTGAGCTCAGCTGCTAACGAGTATGTGTTGCGTTGTTTTAACGCATTTACAGTATAAAAATGTGGAAGCCAATGGCTCGATAAGATGACATCTTGTTGTATTCTCATCAATTTATCTATCGTATAAATTGAGTGACGACTTTTGCAGTCTCAAAGTCTTAAATTTAACGCGTAACAGTTAACGCTTCACATAGCCTTTGTCTCTTTGGAAACGTTTACCAAAGGTTATCCTGGACCGTTTGCTATAGACTACTATAAGCATTTCCATCTTGGTTGTATGACTGCTTTCGTTTTCATGTTCCTACTATTGTGATTACCGAGGCGAGAACTGAAAGTTATCGAAAGTTACTGCTACTATTGTTCATTATTTATAAAAATTGTAACAGTCTTGCACTCTTTTCCGGCCTAACCTCTAACAAAACCCACATTATATTCAGCCAGAGCTTGGCAGTGTTTAATAAAATAAATAAACTCTACAAATTTGGAACCAAAACAAACAGAAATAATTCCCCAGATTTCAAAACTAGAATCGGTTTTTCATTCTGCGAACTGAGAGGTGGTCACTGGTCAGCCACTAGGTGCTCTTGAACACGAACTGTTCGAGTTCGTTCGGATTCACTCGATTTTGAACCGAACTCGAACGAACACGAACACAAACAATATTCTTTTAACGCCAACAATTCGAATCAAAACCGATTGAAAACGAACACAAAAATTTAAGGAAAAATCATACTCAAACTGTCCAAAATTGGTTCATGGGCTGCTCTATCAACCACATGCACCTTTATTTGTATTTTCTCCAAAAAGAATTCGCAATTGGTTGTTTTCTTCAAAAAAGTTCATTTTTCCCCTTTTTTCCCAGAAGAAAATTTTGTAATTCCTTCTCCAGGGGCTGTGATTCACATTTCCACTTACCCATGTTTGATATTACAGTTTTGAATTTGTTTAAGCATATCCAAAACTATGCTCTCCGTCTCCGTCGAAAAATGCCATAAGAAACTATAAAAACGTTCATTAAATTCGTTAGATTTTAATGTTGATTTTTTTTTATCAAGCCAGTTGAATTCTGTGTATGTTCAGCAAGCGCTGCTCTCTCGCAAAGCATCTTGTTGAATGGACCATTGCTAGTGTGTAAATGTGTGTGATTTTCTTTGAAGCAGCAACAAAAAAAGGGAACATATACAGTGCCGATCAAAAGTTTGAGTACGACTATAAAATCCATATTTCAATGTCTTTTTGTCCCATTCAACCCAAATAAGGGTTTTAATCTGATAGCCTATTGAAATTCAGACTGAATGAAACATTTTGAGGACAACATTTGGCCGGCCTTTGGCCATTTTTGGCCATTAATAAATGGCGGCCAAAAATGAGTTTTTTAACGGGCCAACGGATCAAAAAGTAATGTACATCACTGGAAAGGTCTTGAAAAATTGATTTCATTTTTGGCCTCAAACATCAAAATCGGCCGGCATTTGGCCAAGATATGGCCGTTGGAAAATGGTAAAATGAAACGGCCAATTTTTTTCAAACGGCC